CACTCTTTCTGAGACTGCACAGCATTACAAGAGTCAGCACAGTGGTGATGGCAGAATACCACAACACACGATCCCTAGCATCAGCTGGCGTGACTGTTCATGACACATCAGACATCTTGACCTAGACTGCATTCCTGAAGGAGGAGATGGTCTTCCAGGTCTTGAGCTGCAGGGAGCACCTGGTCCTTCTCTATAAGACTGAGATGGTAGCAATGGTATCTTCATCCGTATGAGATGTGCTCTGCTCGAGTCATTGAGATACCATGTAAAGGAAAGGACTGAGAAAATGACTAGATAGTGTAAGATTTGTCTTATAGACCATGCTCTACAGATCTACAGGCTTTTCATGGAGGCCTTTCAGAGGTCAGCCAGAGGCTATACTTGAGTGGGTGGAATATGGAAACACTTGTGACTTCTGTCAGCACAGAGGCAATTTTCTTCTGTAACTGCACATTAGCTACTGGAACACTCTTGCAATGAGGGAAGAAGAACATGATCCATCAAAGGACACAATTGATCCATGTATGGAAAGAATCCCACTAAGAGGTGGTAGTGGTTGAAGGCTACTTTTTGAAGGAGACAGAGGCACCAGTCTGCTGACGGGATGTGCCATATTTGGAGATTTGCTATTGGGACCTTGGATCTGAGATAACCATGGGCTTGCCACACCCTCAGACTGTGACCCGATCACTCTTGTGGGCTCCAACAATGTTGTCAAGGGAGACTGGGATCGAGGTGGAAGATCACAGGATCCCAGACAAACTTAGGTAGGAAATATGCTGTGGGATAGCAGTTGTCTGAGCACGATATCATCAGAGGCTGCCCTGAAAAGTAAAGACCTAGCGAGCTGGTTGATCTTCAAGGACAACTTCCTCAAAACACAAGAATTACATTGTGAACTTGATGCTGGAGTTTGAACAAGTATAGCAGAAGATCAGAAGATCAGCTTGACTAAATGAGGAAATGCCTTTTTTTTTTGGGGGCGGGGAAAACACAAATGTCACAATCATGCTCAAGAAGATTGGGAAAGAGGATCTGAGAAACTACAAGCCAGTAAACCTAACCTCACTCTCCAGTCAAATTATGGAGTGAGTCCTCCTGAAAACCATTTTCTGGCACTTGAAGAACATGATTGGGAAGAGTCAGCATGGGTTTATAAAAGCAAATAATGCCTGACCAACTCGATTACCTCCATTAATGACTTTGCTGACTTTGTGAATGAGGGGAGAACATTTATGTTGTTTACCTTGGCTTTCGCAAAGCTTTTGTCATCTATTTTGTAGATAGACCACAGATAAACTATCGGAGATAGATGGACTGGATGGATGGACTACAAGGTGGGCACAAAACTGGCCAGAAAGCCAGGTTTAAAGAGTAGTGCTTGTTCAACTGTTCAGACTCCCAGCTGGAGAATGGATATTAGTGGCATTCCTCAGGACTCAATACTGGGGCTTACAGTCAAGAAACAGTTAGGGCTGGCTGCTCCAGAAAAAGCGCTGAGCTGGAAGCTGAGTGTGATAGCAGCACTGGCACAGACAGGGACTTTGTTGATAAGGGCCCAGCACTATAGTGCCTGAGCAAGGTGAACAGGGCAGATCTGACTATGGTAATCGGAGCCAGAAACAGCCAGGATATTGCTTGGTAAGTCCACAATGAAAAGGCAGGTTCAAGGGCAGGCCAGGAAGTCAGTCCCTTAGTCAGAGTCCAGGCGTAGGTCAGTGGTACCTATTGCTAGGTAGATCCACAGCTGCAACACAACAGGAGATGTAGCTAAGGTGGGGATCAAATAGTAGAGGCTCAGCTTCAGGCAGCTTCCACAGAAAGGGGGTGGACCTTTGATGAGGCCTCCCTCCCTGCAGGTTTGTCTTGGAGCGCTTTCTGAACAGGACAGGTCACCAAAAGAAGGGTACAGCCCTCTCTAGGGACTCTAGGACAGCCTCTAGGAGCAGGGATGCAGGGATGCTCTCAGGGCCTTTACAATGATACCATTTAACGCCTTTATTAAGGACTAGGATGACTGTATGGATTGCACTCTCAGGTTTGTGGATAACTCCATCAAGATGAACGGTTGCCAAGCTGGAGGGCAGGGCTGCTGTTCAGCGCGACCTCCACAGACTGGAGCAATAGGCTACGGGGAATGCATCGGGAAACAGCAGGGGCAGGCTGCTCTTTAAGGGAAAGTGAGCCAAGAGCAAGGCAGGCAGCGGCCGTGATATCAGTGATAAGATCCAGATCAGAGTCAACAAGCCAGGCTCAAAGAGGTACATGATCAGCTGCAGACACAGCTGCAATATACTGTAGCATGGGCAGGGGCTAGAGAGCTGGAGATAAAATCTCAGCTTAAAAGCAGCTCTCAAGGGAAACAAGGGACAGACCCTCACTTCTAACCTGCTTCAAACTGCTCTTACCAGTGCTCTTACCAGCGAAGGAGCCGACCTCAAACAGATAAACTGCTAGAAGAAGGGAACATGCTCAGGGCCCTTCATGAAACGCGACAAAGTCAAATGCAAAATTCTGCATCTGGGGTAAAATAAACCTCTGCAATGGTGTAGGCTAATGGCTAACTAGAAAACAGATCTGTTGGGAAGGACCTCAGGATTCTAATGGACAAAATGAAAATGAATAAGCAGTCTACTTTTGCAGCAATAGAAGAAAAAAAAAGAATTGAAAGTTTGGAGTTTCTCAAGAAAAGAAAGAAGAAAGACTGACAGACTGGTAGAGGGAGTTCAGAAGAAGCCAGCCAAGGTGGTTAGAGAACCTGAGCACAAGACACGCAGGCAGAAGCTGAGCGCGCTGGTTTTTTATTCATTCTGGAGAAAAGAAAGCTGACAGCTAATTGCTGTCTTAACTCTACCTCGGGTGAAAATAGAGAAGATGGAGCCAGATTTCTTGCATGTGCACAGTGAAAAGACACAGAAGTAATTGCTGCTGCAAGGGAAACTAAAGCGAACTACATAGAAAAAAATCACCGTGAACATGATCTTGTTCCATGTCAGAACAAGATTCACAGAGAAGCTGTGAAATGTTCATCACAGGAAGTGTTCAGAACATGACGGGCCGAGGTCACTCAGCAATCTGGGCTACATTCAATGATGCATCTAACTTAGA